ACTGAAGGCTGTCCGATCCAGGAGGCTCCGTCCACCAGTCCTAATGTAATTCACCCTACTGATATGTTTAGCCCCGACAAATAGATGGACATAAACATGGCACTTAGTAATAAACAGTAAAATTTCACTAATTACTCTTTCTCGTTTACCTTCTTCCTCTTCCAATTCTGTTATCTATGTATGACAAGGAATGCCTTCAACTGAATGGTAAGGCACCCAAACCCTTATGAATTTTAGTAGGATGTACAGAGAGAGAAAAAAAAATAAGGATGTTAAACGAATAATATATTTGAATATTCTTTATACAGGAGGTATATTCGAGTTCAAGGAGGCAGCGTTTGCCTTTCTTTATTCGTTTTCTAATTGTGCGTTCAACATCACTGGAGGATGTGCCTAAACTATCGAAGATTTATCACACATTATTGAGTTTATCCACTATTAATCATTTTAAATGTATATCATCCGATGAAGTTCCAAGGCGCTTTGTCGTAGTTAATAATCAATGGCCACACATTTTGTATGTTTCTATAACATTCCTGTTTAGGAAACTTTTCCAAATAACTCTCATGAGTTTCAATGAGGAAACATTCTAAATTTTAAGGCAACATTCTAATTTTAAGCAGGGGACTGTATCTCAAGGGATTGGTATTGGTAGGTTAAGTGTTATCTTTTATCTTTTAGATCTGCCCCCACCTCTCACGCGAAAATTAAAACTAAATTAAATTTTCGTGTGAAAACGTGGGAAAATTAAAACCTTCCATGGCACAACCAATTTCTTATCATGTTGTTAATTTCCTCTATACTTTGCTCATCAGGAAATATTATGTTTGAGACGTATATCTACCCTAATGTTTATTTTCGTTTTCCCACATTTCGTTTGCGTTTGACACAGTACGAAAGTACGACCGGAAATATTACGTTTTGCAGCCAAGATAAAGAAAGAAATATATGTACTAGCTTCGAACGATTACGCACTTGCTAGTAAATGCATTTTCATTTAACGCTTGTAAAGGCTGTTTCATTTTTATTTAAAGGCTTGTTAAAATTAGGCCTACATAAGATGCAATGTACTGAACTATCACATAAACTAAAGAAAAAGGCTGCCTTTGATACCTTAAAACTTGTTATCAAGTAGATTTCAAAGTACAACAAAAACCTTAACGCGACACTTGTGTGTCCTTGGTTTGCAATAGACAAGTTTGGCAAAAGATCGTTTTTCAATATTATCACTTCAAGTAAGTTGCAAAGCCAGGATTTAATTTTGAAGGGGCATGGGTTATTAATTTATTTATTTTCAATAATGGTAATTAACCTCGAAGAGAAATAAAAAAAACTGTATAAAAAAATGTAAGGAGACGGTCCGGTGGTCATAAATAGACTAAATAGTGACAAACTATTTTATTAAAAGCTAAAAAAAAAGACTATGCAAGTCTTCTTCAGGGAGTTGAGTTCAGCAAGGAGTTCCACTTAGAACTGATCTGTATAGTTAATGTTTAACTGGAATTTAAATGCAAGTAAAAAAAAATCTTTGCAGGAATAATTACCCTTTTAGGAACTATTTTTTTATTAAGCAGAACCTTTCCAGCCCCTTTAAATTGAGTTGTAAAAAAGATAATTTGTAGCTGAGTTGAATAGGTATTAATCTTATTTATTGAAAAATATTACAATCTGTCTCAAGGACATTTATAATAGTGTTCACAGATCACATTCACACTCCATGTACAGTAAATAAAATAAATTATACAGAAAAATAACATATAGAATAGGTATTAAAAGAGCAGATTTTGGGTATCTCGATTTTTCCTGCGACGTCACATTTGGTTATTGATATGTGAAAAGAGATTATAAAATGTTCAAAAAGAAAATATGAGGGAGTAATTTGATCTATATTAAAAGTCTATTAAATTTCCAAAAGTATACATTAATGGGAAAGTTTCCTCCGTTCCTATCTCTCAGATCGTACCTTCCGAGTTCGCTGCGGCACTGAATTTTCAAATTGCTATCCAATGGAGGCTGGTGTTCCACAAGGTAGCGTATTGGGTCCCATCCTTTACATCCTCTTTACCGCCGATATCCCTGTCCATCCCGATACCTTCCTGGCAACTTTTGCTGATGACACCGCCATTCTATCATCCGACTCAGATCCTGATATAGTATCCTTAAACCTTCAAAGACACGTCTCCCTGACTGAGCACTGGTGTAATAAATGGCGTATTAAAGTAAATGAATCCAAATGCCAACACATCACCTTCACGCTCCGACGCAGTTCCTGTCCACCAGTACACTTTAATTCCATCCAGCTTCCTTTCTCAGACACAGTCCGGTACCTTGGCTTTCTCTTAGACAGACGACTAACGTGGAATCCTCATACCAGACAAAAAAGACAGGAACTTAACCGACGATACGGTCAACTATACATAATACTAAACAGAAAATCTAAACTCTCTATTGAAAATAAAATACTTATCTACAAGACAATACTGAAACCTACTTGGACTTACGGACTTGAACTGTGGGGAATAGCAAAATTTTCTAACATCAAACGTATCCAATCCTTCCAATTCAAAGTCCTTCGAACAATAGTCGATGCTCCTTTCTATTTAAACAACAAAACCCTACAACACGACCTTAATATCCCATTTGTCCTAGACCTTATCCCAAAAAAATTCCCCAAATTTCACCAGAACCTTACCCATCATCCAAATCCCTTTGCACAACCCCTATCCAGCACAACTTATCCCTATAATCCTCCAAGAAGGTTAAAACGGCAGTGGCCCCACGACCTTTTATAGTTTGTAAATATTGGAGTTCTGGCGATGGCCAGATTTTTCACTCACGACATGAGTGTATGTGGCTAAAGAACTCTTGCTCAATCTCCACTGGGTTTAGCCCCAGTGACGCGGTTGAGAGAGAACTGCATGGATCTCCTGGAGTTATGCTTTTCGCTCCACAGTTGGAGTTCTCTCGCCAGATTGTAAATGTTGTATATAGGTATGTATGTGCTCTTTTTATTTATTTATTTTTAGGTTGATTTATTCTTATTTATTGTATATATATTATTTTTCTGTATAATTTGTTTTATTTATTGTATATAGAGTGTGATTTCTCGAATGTGATCTCTGAACACTATTATAAACGTCCTTGAGACAGATTGTAATATTTTTCAATAAATAAGTTAAAAAATTAAATAGGATAGTAAATCATTTTCCAACCTTTTTTGTAAACAAAAATGATGGAAAATACAAATTTTGTGATGGAGCACTGCTGCTTACTATTTTTTTTTAAGGCTAGAGGATTCATGAATTATTTTTATTCGATGTGTAAATAAATAAGTAACGCCGTCGCAAAAATTTGAAACACATCATTAAGTGCAATCCAGTTTTCAGGTTCATGACCTGAGACCTTTAAAATTGTAAGTAAATACAGTCTTCGTTGTAAAACTTGTTTGAAGGCAAAACTGTTATTATAATAACAGTAACATACCGGTAAGTGTGCTAGTAGTAAACAATTTATGATTTCGAAACTAATAGATGATTAAAAAACATAATGATGTCATTGGTTTGAGAAATATTCTTTAGAACAATTGTAATACATGTGTTTTTCCCATTGCATTATCGTTGTTCGGTTGGTTTCATATATGAGGCGTTTGGTTTCAAAACCAGTTACATCCATTACATTAAAAAAAAAAATAATAATAATTTTCACATGCTTTCAATACTAGAAATGATGTATCAGATGTATTCGTTTGTTTCAAAACCGTCTGGACGGTAAAAAAATCAATACAAAAAGATTCGGTTTCCGGTCAAACACCTGTTGTTGTTGATAGGTAATTTTCTCATTCTTTATCAAGATAGTTTTTTTTTTTTTTTGGGTTGAGGTTGAAATGCTTATTTAAATATTTTAAACCTTTTATAATGAAAAAAAATTCCTAAATTTTAATTAATTCATCACAGAAAAAGGCAGGGACAAAAAGAATCTTGGAAACGTTCAAGATACCAATACAAATTTCTATATATAAAATTTTTAAATTATGTGTATATCTTGTTGAAATTAAAAAGCGATTTGTTTTACAAAACGTATTTTTTTTTTCAACCTAAAATCTTTATTTTTTTATGAGATTCAGGCAGGTCCAACATATTTTTTATTTTAAATAGGAACTAATAAAAACAGAAGATCATAAAAAATTACCGATAAATTTTATTTATTACAAATTAGGCAAAACTAAATACATACACATACCTACTTAAACGTATTTAAATGCCTCACTGATCATATGCCATCATCAGTTCAGAAAAAACCCATTTACAAAATTACAAATTCACTTACAAAAAGCTACAATCTTTCCGGCTAAAATTTTACGACTAATTCAGCAGATCCCTGATACGTAAACATCAATCAACTATCGACCGATACATATGTACTTTTTACTGACGATTTCACGTTGAACTACAAGGACACAACAACAGACTCATAACCGACATGGCTGCCATTGAAATGCCCATTAGAAGGAGACTGAAGAGGAGCTTGATGAGAGATCTCCTTCCCTGATTCCCTGAAGCAAACAAAGACCAGAAAGAGGTGCCGCTTGGTGCTATCCATGCCTGTCATGGTATTACGATCTATATTTCCATCAAATCAGCAGATTGTCACTCTCATGACAGGTGCAGATGGAGGCATAAAGAGAAAAAAAGTGATTTGGTACTAAAATAACGAAAAATAATAATAAAAAAATTGCTAAAATGACTATTTTCGAACGACTCATTTTTATCAATCCTGAAAAGAAACGCTTCATATATCTTCAACACTTCTAGTTGTCCATAGATAAGTTTTAAAGAAACGATTAATAAATTATTTAATTATATTATATTTACTAAATGATTAAATTAATAATAAAAATATTTATAATATAATGTAATCTGTATAATTATAATGAAATTTATAATTTATTCTAATAAATGAATTATAGGTGTTATAAATACATAAGTAAGTAGTTAATATACCTTGATGAGGTTGTTCGCTTCCATTAAACCGAACTCCATCATCTCTCGTGTGAGGACCGCCATTATGCTGTAGAACTCGTCTGCACTTCGCACGCTTAGCATTCTCCTACATCATTGACAAAGAATAAGTAACAACTGAATGCGAAATATTTCAATAAGATATGAACATCTTATAATGAGTAATGATTATCCTTATCATAGGTGGGAAATGTATGGCCTCCGTGAGTATTCAGCTACATAAACAAATTATCTAGAATTTAAAAAAAAATGATAGGAGTTAACTTTGAAAATAAACGACTCAATTAAATCTCAGTTAACGGCATGTGCATTATGATATGATCAAAGCTCGCTCTTAGCGTCACACATTTTAGGCGCTCAGTTCTTAGGAAATATTCCGTTGGAAAGAGAATGAGTATAGAAACTGCCTCAGCTGGATTCGATTTTAATCTAATATAGAAAATGCTCTCTCATTAATCAACTGTTCTTCCACTTCACAAGACATTACAAAACTCCTCTAATTGGCATTATATTGTTTTTTAAGAGAGGCAATTCTCTGGTCACGATAAAGGTATTATTACTCCCAACTTAGATCCTTTCTTTTAATGGAGAGATGGGAGAAAAATTCAATTTCTTCCTTTATTGGCCTTTGTGGAAATGAACTTTATTATTACCTCTGCTAATCCAATTTCTTTTAACGAATATATACTTTCGCAAAAATTATCAATCACAAAGGGATATAGCACTATAAATGAACTGAAACACAAAAAAAAACAACCAATTTAATCAAAACAAAAATCTGGTGCAGATCGCATATGACACAACTTTCACTCACCAACCTAATACGTAGAGTAGATAGGGAATTTTCGTACATGGAAAAATAAAAGCAAACAAAAAATCTAGTGCGCGCAGCACACAAAACTCACTTAACGCTCTACTTTGAATAGAAATTATTTTGTGGCAATGTTGGGTTATGATAAAATTTTTGAAGTGCACTTTAAGCGGAGATAAAGCTTAAAGCTTACAGATAACAAATCATTAAGATCATTAAAATTACAAAAAGTCTATTTATTATATCGATGGTAGGCAACACAAATCTAGTCGCTGCATCTGCTTTTATAAACCACACAACTTCAGTCTCCGAGCCTTTCAGTTGACAGAATGACTAACTCCAATTTCAACATTTTTGAGTAATGTCATTTTAGTGATATTTCTAGTTGGAAAAGTTATATCTATACAGAAGGTGAGTAAGTTGATTCCAGAGTAAGTGATTGCAGTGTTGAAATATAGAATAGTGAATAAAGGTATAAATTTTACCACTAGAAACAGTACTAAAATTAATAACGAAGAATGTTGAAATTGGAATTAGTCATTCTGTCAACAGAGAGACTCTTATATGGCTTGAGAGATTTGAAAGTATATCTGAATATTTAGGCTATAAATGAATATGGATTGTAGGGCTATTAGACATTAAACTGTTATTTTCTATTGTAAAGCTTACTAAAATGATATTACGAGATTTTCATTGGCAGTCATGGATTGGTCGAAAGTTGTCATAAATAAATAATTTTAACGAGAACGTTGCTTTCACATCGAAACTATATAAAAACCTTAAATACGCAATTTAAATTTCGTACGACTTTCCGTTTTGGGCTTAGGTTGTTCACATACATACATCACAGACACACATACCATTTTGTGGGACTTGATTATTTGGACTCAGGAGACCTCAAGATGTGTATTTTCGTTGAAAACTCAGGTTCGAAAATTTTCACGACTTTTCCTTACTATTTGGACATGACTTCAAAACTATGCATTTTGTCAACATTATGATTATATACAAAGTTAAAAAAGAAAAAGTCTTTTAATGATTTTGAAAATGGCTTTTTGTTGTGTGGAAAACGGGTGAGGAGTTAAAACAAGTTGATTTGTAGCTTATTTTACATGATATTTCGGTTTTGGTCGGTTTTATCCCAAAACTCATAATCTATGCATCTCTCCAAGAAATTAAATATAATCAATTTAAAAGAGTATTAAATTTCTTATATTCCTTATGGAGATAGGGTCAATATTTATGAAGATAAGTGGATCGACATGTTCGGAACATGGCATGTGTGGAATAAGGAATACAAGTTAAAAATAAAATATAAATGTCTCCAGCCATATCTTGGATATATATATATATATATATATAAAGTACGTAATAGTGGCAATAGCAACCTGTTATTACTTCAACTACCAATCAATAATCAATCTAGAATATATGCAATATTTAAGACTTAATTATGGAGGACTGACAGCGGCCTGGCTGAGGAAATCGATACCTGGTTCAATAGCGATTAAACTATTAGTGGTAATTGTCCCGGATAGCCAGAACTAGCTCATCCTCCACTGACCACCGCTCTCTATAATTACAGTCGGCACGGGTCATTTCCCTTTCATCACCACTGCACCGTTCCGATCTTCCGATTTGAAAATACGTAGTCTAGAAGGTTGACGCCGAAAGCGGACTTAAAATAATGAAGTTAGTTAATAGAAATTATTTTTATCAGCAATTCTATAGAGCATTAAATACCAAGAAATTTAATACCAGTTTTTTAATTGATTTTGTATTTCGCTTTTAAATTTTCTAATGCGATACATGATTTCAGATACAAAGATCGGCTAAAAGAGCAAGGAATATTTATATATGACAATCTAAATTTTCATCTCTACTTAGAATAGAATAGAATAGAAATTAATTTTATTCTGGGACGAAGCCCCTTTAGAATAACAAAACATTACAAAATTAAAGTATTATATCTGGCCTAAGTAAAAATAAACATAACTAAAAAAAGTAAAGAAAATATTAGTTAAACATACTATGTACAAAATAAATAAAAAATCTATATACAAAGCACCAAGACAATTAAAACAATGTACAGTGGTTAAATATAAGTATACACTTTAAAAAAAAATAACTTACATTCTTTTTAGCAATAAACTCTGTGTTTCTGCAGAAGAGAAAGGAAAAGAAGACGAATCTGATAGTAAGTATTTGAGTGATGAATTAAATGTAAATATATCTTTATGTGAGTCATTTCGAATTATATGTAAATTTACGTAGGTTAGCGGAGGATTTCTGACTGTTTTTGGAATAGAAATTGGAATAGGAGGGTTTTAAATGTAGATAGGGAGGGAGAATGCCGAATTTTGATAGGAAGGGAATTCCAGAAATTAACAGAGCGAGCAATAAAAGAGTTTTGGAACTAGGCAGATCTGTGAGAAGGAATGTAAAGGTCAGAAGGTCGAGATCTTGTGAAAATGCAGTAGACTGAGAACTTGAATTGGAGAAGGTTATAGGCGTAAGAAGGACGATGATTGTTGATGATTTGATAGAGGAACGTACGTAGGAAATATTGTCTTCGAATGGAGGGGAAGAGCCACATTAACTCAGTATAGTGGTGAGACACTTGGGAGTATCTCGGGGCACCAATTACAACTCTTACTTATCATTGGATTTTATGATAGTATAGGATCAACAATGAAAATTTAGAAGTTTTATGTCAGATCATTACGGATTCTAAATGACTACCATGTACATATCAATATATATATGTTTTTTGGCCTTGAAATTTTAAATAGAATCCTATTTTGCCAGGAATGTATTCATTTTTTTCATTCATTAGAGCCGTAATTTTGTTTTTGAATTTTATAAGTTGATTGTGTCCCGAATCTTGTTCTTTTTTTGTTTTACTATAATTGAGTGTCGACCTCTCGATAATGTACACATTAGAGCCTATTAAAGTAATAATTCTTTTTCTAGATCCACATTAATTTACTGACTATATTGCTAGAGCACACTAAAATATGCAGTTGGTCTCTTTACAGAAGTTGCCAAGGCATTTGTTAACGTTCCTAATAATAAAGTTTCATCAAGAACTTTTCTTTAAACTCAATCTCTACCACCATTCACATACCGTCTCATTCTTCAATCTTTCCTTTTAGACAGATATTTCTCTTTCCGACAGAGTTTGGAAATTTCCTTAATTTGATCAAAATTGGCAGGATTAATACAGGTTCATTCACTCCGAATCACTCCATAGAGGGAGACAATATGTTATGTTATACTATTTGACAGAAAGACGACATGGAGCCCACACGTCAAAATGAAAAGAAAACAAGTAACTGAATATCCTTAACTCTCTTCTTTCCAAATCAAAAACAAGATTAATATTAAATACACAAACCTTACTAATTGTTTAATTGTTTACAAAATTGTTTAAAACAACCTACAATTAAGTTAGTAAAGATTTCAGATAATTGAATTAATTAGCTTTGATTGAGGAATTATCACATGTCTGATGTGAATATCAAAAAGTGAAGTATTTAAACCAAAAAATGTATAGAACAAAGAATCATTTTCTCAATTTACTTCTTATTCCTTGCCAATAGGCCCAATTTTATAAATAATCACTCTTAATTTATAATGCTGTTTTTCAAACTTTATATGACACTTTCTACTGTCCAAGTTGAACTGTAATCTCCAATACACAAAATCTATATTATAATGTATTTCCAATATATATTATAATAAAATTTCCAATTATTTCCCAAGAACAATAGTCGAATGAAATCTTTTGAAACGAAAATAATCACGAAGTGTACTGTCTGATGAAAAAAGTCAATGGCAGTGGGGAGGGACACATGGGGACACCTTACATGTTTTAAAATTAAATGGTGTGATTTAATTCATGGAATGATGACTAAATTCTAGAGGAATACAGGAAATAATGATATCTATTAGAATAAATACTAGTGCATTTTGCACATCTCTCACTCTCTCTATAAATATCTTTTTATTTTTTCATATTTTCTGTCCATAATTAAGTTATCTTCCGGAGAACATTCTTCCAAAGACCTGACCTTTCTAGAGGCAAAACTTCGACAAGACTTTGTAATGAAGTTTGTTAACCTAACTCAGTTTATATCGGAGAGTGCGCTGAGTTTACCGGACCGAAAGGTAGATAAACGAAAATAAACCTGTTTCTAACTATCATGTTAATTAGGAGAGATTCCTTCATCCAGATGTAAATGCCAAATTAATTAACCAATTTTTACGATTTCGTT